AAAAAAAAAACACCAAAACTTTTCATTATTTGAAAATGAGACAGGGAAAGGAGATAGGCTGAAAAGATCTGTAATTTCTTTTTTTCTCGTGTTTCTTGGTGTAGAAGGCACTTTATAAAACCCAAAATTCTGCACTAAATGTCAAATTGAGAGGGTTATTTCTATTTCTCATTTTGGTTTCTCTTACATGCAGTAACTATTTACCCACATTAGTCATGCAGTCCTGAAAAGAAAGTTGGATATATAATTTCAAAGCCATGTGTTGCTTCCAAATAATTTATAAAAAGAGACTTTATGAATACCCAGAAATATCACTCCTCTGCTATGCAACGGTAACAGATATTTTCAAAGCACCTAATGCAATTAAAGTGCTCAGGAGAGGCAAAGATACAACAGTGCAATAAAAGTCAATGGCTGTCAATGTTCAGCAAAGTATATATTGAAATAATAATACAATAAATATTAATAGAGAGAGTTTAAAACTGTGATGGTTAAAAAAAAAGGTTGTAAATAACCATTTAATTATATCACACATGAAATGGGTACTGATACTTGGCTCACTGGTGCTTTTTAATCTTCCTTTTTGGAAGTCCTGTATGACTTAGTGGTTTTTTTTCCAGGGCAACTCAAGCACACAAACAGGAATGAATGATGCATTTCTAGGTCTGCCAGTAGCTCCTGGAGGATAGTGACTTTAGGAGAGTATCCACAGGCAGGTGAAGCCCAGCACCACCTGGCCGCTGCTAGGGGTCCTGCTGATGGCAGCTGTGTGACTGGGGAAAGAGAAGAGCACCCTGCCATGAGATGGATGTTACACCATGTGAGCAGAGCCCATAGCCCCTGAGATGTGCTGCAAGGAATGGATGCAATCCTCCAGCTTCCCTAAGAGAATCTGCTTCCACTCTCACAGTGCTGTCACAAAGAGGAGGGATGAAGTCCTGACACCATCAATGTTAGTAAGAAAAACAGACTCCACAGAAAGAAAAGTGAGAAACCTGCACTCTTTCATCCTACTCTCCACCTGCTCCCACATAAACATCAACATTTGCTTTTTATTAAGTTCCACTGTTGCTGCCCTTTTTCCTGGGGTGGATGTTGCAATGTGCAGTCTAGGGTGTAAGGTCATAGTCCCCAAAATTAATGAATATGATGGAGATGCAGAAACATCCTACATGTCTGGCTACTCCTGTTTCCCACTGTCTTTTTCTAGATTGTCATATCTTGACATTATTGTAACTCTGTTTTGGAAACAGAGGATAGGATACACTTAATTATACATTATATTTGTAGGCTATAAGGATGACAGTTTGTTTTTAACAACCAAACACTTGATGACAATCAAACATAATTTTTGAGTTTAGCTGACAAAGTGCCAGCCAGAAGAAGTCCAGCAATGCAAAAGATGTGGGGACTTCTGCAAACATGGCAAAACCATCCACCCACCTGCATGGCCCCAGGGCAAGGACCCCAGTGTTGTGCTGCCCAGCTACCTCAACAATCAACACTGAGCTCTTCAACATTTGTCTACCAAAGTGCTGTAAAGAAGATTTAGTTTCTGGAAACTTTATTTTGATAGATTGGTAAGAGGCAATAACTCAATTTCTTTTCCTTTTTTGTAACCTCCTGTGAGAGTCTTCTATATCCCCTTACTCCTGATTCAGCATCCAAATATTCTCACTGATGTTTCTTATCTGGTAAAGACTGAGCAAGGATTATCATCTGAACCACCCACAGTGACTGAAAGATTCTGAAAGATCATGATAGAGAAGCAAAAGCTCCCTCTATGGTGATATTCCACCTCTGTACGATTGTCAGTCTCAGACAAATACCACACCAGTTTTTTTTTATGGCCGGATGTGAATCTACCCACCTCTCTACACTGCAGTGCTTATAAAAGCAGTCTTTCCTTTCACATAAATCCTGCATCATATCCAGAGCACAAACTGAAACTTCTCTGTATCTCCTAAGAACTTTCAGCATATTCCTAGTCCTTTTTGTAGCCTTGGTCAGCCTTTTTCTCTCTGGTGGCCAAATATTGGCTGCAAAATGCCAGAATTTTCTGTAGATGCTCTTTATCTCCACTGATAGTCAAAGCCCCTGGTACAAACACCTCCAGGCTCTAGCTTTGCTGTTTTTGGAAGCTGCTTTTATTCTGTGTACACACCTTCACGAGACATGCCTAGAGACCTCTCTCAGGGCCTGAAGCTAAGATGCTCTTCTGTGACACATCCCACACTGCCAATGCAGTGATACAATGGAAATTATGTTTCCTGTAACTGCAGACCATTGCTGGACAAGGAAATTACTGACACAGTGAAGATTATTTTGGAAACATTAAAATCAATTTCTCCCTATTCCTCTCAACACCTACATGAAAAAGTAGTTATTTCATTCTATGAAAGAAAAAAGGAAAGTGGTTCTCTGTAATTGCTGAACCATAATAATAATCAAAACAACAAAACATGGAGAACAGTTTCTCAAGAGAGAGATATTTATCAATACTTCAAAATTATTTGCTCTGATTTATGTAAAAACAAATACTATATTACACAATCCTCCACAGGAATGAAGACTCTTTTAAAACCCCCACTGGACCTCCCTTCTCTCTAGAGGTTCATTTCCTTGTTCATTCCAGAGAGGCTGCTTTCCTGTGCTGTTCAATTTCCCTCTTTCCTCCTCTCAGAGGACAGCACTCCTGGGTGACTCCTGATGAATTGCCAGGTGACAGGTCACTGAGTCTTTGTAGGAAGACAGAGGATGAAAAGTTGAGTTCCAGCTCTTCCCATCACTTTTCCCTGTGCTATTCATAAAAGATCAAATTTCCCCTGAGCCAGTTACACCCAAGTCCTGTTGCAGCAACAAAGGACTTTAAATGCCAAGGGTGTTCCATTCCCTGGCACCAGGTGCTGATGCTGGTATGGACAAGCTGGATAGATCTGAAAGCTGCAGGTATGGTTAGTGTGAAGCTCCCCTTGGCAAAGCCTCCATGAGCACAGCACTCACTGCTCTGCTGGGAGGCCATGGGAGCTTCTCTCTGCCACATTTCACTGAACGCTCAGTGCTCAACCCTGCCACACAAAATTTGGATCAAGGTCTCCAATGGATGAATCACTCTGGAGTAATATTTTTGTCCAGTTTTTCCACTCTTCAGCCTTGGAGTTGTGATAAAGATCTAACTATAGCATGAAAAAGTACAAATATAGTAACAGTTCAAAAAAGTGTTCCAGTGACAGCCCCACTTTCAGGGGAGAGGAAGTAAGTTAAGAGTGAGGTACATGCCTCACATTTACCATGTAGCTTGCCATCATAGGAGGGCTATTTGTAGTACAGTTGTGATATTATTTAAATAAAGTAATTTTGAATCT